CTCTCAATGCTGATTGCAGCCATTGTCGATCCCGATACGCAAGCAATCATATGCGCAACGAAGGTGAAGGTGTCGATAAAAGCACAGCTTTCATACAAAACTGCCTCATTAACAAATGCACACATTAAAGGCTGTACCAGAACCCCGATCAGCAGATCAGCAAAAGCCAACGAACCAATCAAGATGTTTGATGGTCGAATAAGCGAGGGTGTCTTGCAGAGAACCAACAAGAAGAGTCCGTTACCAAGAAACGATAAAGGTGCGGTGACAACGTTTAATGCCATGACAGTGGTGTAAGTATACTTGAAACTTTCCAGGCGAATAAACGCTGGATTTATTTGTCCGTTTGGCCAAAAGTATGATCTACACCTCGAGTTATTCATTCTCCGAATTTTAAAGTTACCAAAATTCCCTCGTCAGAAGCAAATTCTGTTTGATCTCTCACACTGTAATTCTTAATTTTCAGAGATCTCTCTTTTTTTAACCAGCTCTTGGTCGCGGACTGAACAGCTTGTTGAACGGCTGCTATTATCAGCAATTGATGGCGGTGAACTTGGTTATTCAATTCGGCACCTTTATACAACTTAGCTCAAGAGGTTAAGAAAAGTGCGAGCACTGTCTGAAAACCTACTATACTTTTGATGCCCGAGTGTTTATGCACTAAGCCCACACACTTGCACCACGGTCGTGGTACAGCTGACGCAAAATGTAGTTCTCTTAGTCGTGATTGGTTGGTTTTACGTTTGTCATGCGCAATAGTGAGAATTTTGATTGCGGTGAAGGCTCAGGGTGCCGTGTAATGAACTGTTCAAACAACAAAATTTACAAAGAAATACAACACGAATTATACCATTGTTTTCATCAACTTTGACTTACACCTGCGCTACTGATCAAAATTTATTAAGACGCAATCCAGTTTAATGAGGAAGAATCTGAAAGAAAAGTGCTTTATAATGACGGAAATATGATACGTGTAGCTATCCGGCTATTAATTTTTCTTTGGTTTGTTTTGTTCTATATTTAATCTTTCTCTTTTGGGGGCATAGTCCACGGAGGCTTACTTTGATCTATTAATTTTTTTAAATTTCAGACTCATATCTCTTTTTGTTTTAAAATACATAGTGATATGAGCCTGCAAATTGTAAAGTTAAGTGCCATGCTAACCGAACAATATATTCTCCTTCAAATGATTGATATATTAATGGCCACTTGCAAGAATTTCTATCCAAGAACAATATTCTCTTCCTGTTTTCAATTTAACTCGAGGTCGTGATTATGATCATATATAGTTTCTTTTAAAGTTCCATGCTCAACCGGCATTCAATGCGGTCGTACTAGGAATTTTAGAATATGGCCTTTTGGAAAGGATATATGTTGAGACTTAGTTATATTAGTTATATCCCAACAATATATTTTCACGAGCATCCATAGGTCCAAAGGCGTCACGTRGTGTGATTTTCGGCGGACGGGTGTCACACATCCATTTCCATCCGTCAGTTTTAACATCGAATCTTASAGTGTATCCATCCATAGAGCATAAAGGGATAAAAAAGCTAAATGTTTTTTTCATTTATTTATWTATTTTATTATATTGAGTACGATATGGCTCTTTGACACGCGGGCTACGACATGTGGCGACTGCTTCTACCAAGGAAAAAAACAACTATAATTGCAGTTAGATCAACGCTTTATTTATTAATCATCTGTAACTGATATAGGATGTATCGAGTTTTCTCGTTAGASTAGTATTGATGAGGCATGGGTAGGAGCAATCTAACAATAGGCCTTTTCAGGAGATATATACCAATTTGCAATGCATTGTGGTCTAATGTTGCCAAATATGGTGTTGTTTGTGCTGAGCCWACACCACAATGCACTATGATTTTGTATTTGAGAAAACTATTATACAATGTGCAGCGACGCCATTTTGTGCAGCAAAGCATGATGGCAGTTGTAGTCCCCGTTCTTCTTTTCGTGTCCGCTAGAGCGGATTTCGTATGACTGTGCAATAAAAGAACGGATCACAACACGGACACGGCACGGTCACGGAACCTCGCCTTCTAGGATTTCAAATGAAAGTAAAGATTTTACAATGCATCACGGCTACGGCACGGTACGGACACAGCACGAACGTACCGTGTTTTTTTTTGCACAGTCATACGAAATCCGCTCTAAAACAGTCCTTCTGAAATGTTTTTGCTTTTTCTAAGCAAAAATTAAATCGAAGTAGTTTTGACGTTACTATACGTAGAAAGCGCAAAAAGGCTTTTAAGGAGRTCGTTTATTGGATCTTATTTTTCCTTGCATGAGTTTCATCTAGCGATTTTACTCATTGATAATACACYGGATGTACACAGGCTATATTTTTCCTTTCTCGTCACTACGTTAACGACCAATATCACCGTTACAAAGGAAGCTCGAAGAAGGAGGAA